GCGAGGGGCCGGGGGGCCGAGGCTCGCTGAAGCCCTTGTCCCCCGGGAACCAGTGCTTCTGCGAAGCTACTGCTGGCAACGGCTGCAGCCAGGAGCTGCTGCGCATCAACCGCAAGCGGGTGAGCCCCTGAGGGTGGGTCTGCTTGGGGACTGGGGGGGCACGGCCGGGACCACTGCCCTCACCCCAAGCCTATGTCTGTGCAGTCCCTGGACTCCTGCATGGAGCTGGATTCCCTCCGGGAACGCATGCAGCGGATCCATGTGGAGACCGAGGGCAGGGAGGAGACTTCCTCTCGGTCCTGCTGCAGCAGGACCGAGAGGAAGGTGAGGGCAGGATGGGAGCTCATGTGGCATACCTGGGTGTTTCTCTCACATCTGTACATGTAAAGTTTCATGAGGGGCTCCTGGGATGCTGGTGGGGTAGAAGAAGGAAGGGGCACTTCCCAAAGGGGTGCAGGGACTCCTGGCTTTCTGCGCTTGCTGTGGCTGGGAACAGAGCAGCTGAGCATCGCTCTGACCTGTCTGCAGGGCTCTCCCCTCTCACAGATACCTACGGGGAAGTCACTGGTGCCACCAACCTTGCATGCTACATGCAGGACCCTGACTTTGGATACCAGGACTTTGCCCGGCGTGATGAGGATCAGACGCAGGTATTCAGAATCCAGGTGAGGTTCCTGCTCTCTCGCGGGCAGCAGCCCTGGCTGATGCCTCCCCTTTCCTCTCCTCTCCTGGTGGGCAGTGGATGGTCACAGGGGTGCCCGTGCAGCCTGGATCTGGTGCAGCTGCTTTTGCAAAATGCCCAAGTGGGGAAGCTCAGCTCTGAGAGGGGACCTGCCCTATTAGGGTTGGGGAGAGGGAGGTGACTGGTGATATCTGCTCCCAAGGGCTGCTGATTTCTTCACACCACCCTCACAGAAGCAAGGGTCAAAATCATTCCAAAGCTGCCTGATGAGGGATGCTGTGGTTTGTGGCAGAGCTGCCCCCGGAGCAAACCTATTGAATTCTGCTGCATCCTGAGGTCTCCAGCCCTTCTTCCAGGGAACGTGCCCCAGGCTCCTTTTTTGTGGTTGCAAAAGCCTCTTGCTGTGCTCAACAGGATTACTCCTGGGAAGACCACGGCTTCTCTCTGGTCAACCGGCTCTACTCTGACATTGGGCATCTCCTGGATGAGAAGTTTCGGATGGTGGATGGTCTGCAAAGCAGTGCCATGGCCAAGCGTCAGGGCTGTGAACCCTCCGTCTTCAAGCGAGGCATCTGGAACTACATCCACTGCATGTTTGGTATTAGGTAGGGAAACCAACCTCAAGGTCCAGGAGAGAAAACTGAGCTGAGCCCGGCAGGAGGAGGGCAGGGCAGGGCACTTGAGCTGTCTTGCAGATGGGCTTGGAAAAGAGATGGAAGTGAATTGTCTGCCTGGATGTTGGGCCAGGCGGGGAAGAGATGCTCAGCTTCTCTGGCCAGGGCAGGGCATCTTGGGGATGGGGTTTCGGTGCCTGGTGGCTGTGCCATGCCCCGAGCAGACCACAGGTGAGGTGCTCTGCAGGGACACGGTGCTGGCTGTGACTCGCCCCTGTGCTCCCCACAGGTATGATGACTACGACTACGCAGAAGTGAATCAGCTTCTGGAGCGAATGCTCAAAGTTTACATTAAAACTGTAACCTGCTACCCAGAGAAGACAAACTCGGAAATGTTTGACAGGTTCTGGAAGCAGTTCAAGCACAGTGAAAAGGTGGGACAGCCAACCCTTGGCTCTGACCGACTGCGGTGGGGCCAGGAGTGGGCAGGGGCTGCAGGCTGGGGTGCTTCAGAGAGTGTACGGGAAACCTTTGAGCCACCAAACCAGCCCAAGGCAAGTGGGGGGAGAAATGGAAACAAGCTGTTTGTAAGGAGTTGGTCTGAGTGTGGTGTAGGGCTGCCCTGTGACAAGCACAGGGGCCGTCAGCAGTACCAGGATCTCCAAGGCCATTAAGTCCATTGGCAGGTTCCTCCAGGTGAGCCCTCGGTCCAGCTGTAACTTGCAGGAATGGCTGCTGTGGGCAGCAGGGACCATGCCAGTACCAGCCCAGCATGCTGGTGCCAAACATGCCAGGAACTCCCCAGCACAGGGCTCTGGGAGGCAACCACAGCCTGCAGGACTGGGAGGAGGGGCAAAGGGCAGCTGCCTGTGTTGGGAAAAATTGGTGGCGTTTTGTCCGATGCCAAAAGACTCACTAGCCCAGATGGGCACTTGCACCACTGCCCATAGCAGCTGCCTGAACCTCTCTTGCTTCTCCCTTAGGTCCATGTGAACCTGCTCATCCTGGAAGCCCGAATGCAGGCAGAGCTGCTGTATGCATTGCAGGCCATCACCCAGTACATGATCTCCTAGATGGTGGGGAGCTGCGCTGCGGCAGGGCCGGGCAGCATCCTCTCTCCCTGGACTCATGTGTGACCCATCATGCTGGGACAGACGGCGAGGAGGGATTTCTCAATTCAGTTTACTTGACTGTCTTGTTCCTTTTTTTTTTCTTTTCCCTTACGGGGCTGTCTGAGCGGCCCCGTTACGTGCAATTACCAAACTGTGAGGCAAGTCCATGCTGCTGAGATGTCGGTGTGATGCTGGAGACTTGAACGTGTCTAAGGAGGACTGCCAAAGACGTGGGGGAGAGGGAGGCAGGAGGGGACTGGGGCCAATTTAGAGGGATGCTCCCCTGTGAGCAGAGGCTCCTCAGTCACCGCAGGGAGGGCAGAGGGGAGAGCTGGCTTCCTTCCCTGTGCTGCTGCAGCTGCCCTGCTTGCAAACCATCCTTCGGGGCCTGGCCAAAACTTGGGAACAATGTGGGCAGCTTGCGGGTGCCTTGCAGTGTCCCAGGTGGTGTGGTCAGGCGGGGAGGAGCGCTGGCTCTCAGCAAGGGCCCTTTCCCAGCCCAGGACGGGAAGGGGACGCGCTTGCTGCCTACGTGTCCTGCCCTTTAGTTCTACATGCCAAACCCCGTGGACAAATGATGACTGAGGCAAACTCCAAACTGTGAAGCTCTTGCTGGCAGGGTGCCCTAGTGCTCTGCCTTCTCTGACAGCGGGGTGAGGAGGTCTCTGACAGTGTTTGGGCTCTGGAGGTTTCCACAGGAGACTTTGGGCAGTCCTCAGGAGCTTGCCCCAAAGCCCTTCTGCCTCCCATCAGCAGAGGGGCAGGAGGAACAAGGGAGGCTTCCTGAGTTAACGTGGCTTGTATCTTCTTACCACCACGAGAGGCCTGTGGTCCTGTGCCCACTCACTCGCTGCTTAACAGCGTGGTGGGCCTGTGGCCAGCACAGCTGAGCTATGGGAAGCTTCTCCTTGAACCTGGGCTGGGGGGACCCCTGGCGCTGTCCCCATTTGAGCAGAGGCAGCCTGTGCACCAGCCTTGCCCTCTGCCCAAGCGAGCAGGAGCACGCAACACCGCTCCCCCTGCCTCAGGGCTGCTCCCTGCCTGTGCCACAGCCCCTGGCTGGGGAGGTACGAGGGATCGGGCACAGGCTCTGGAGAGCAGCTGTGAAAGGGGAATGAGGCCACCCCTGGTAAGTGGGAGCCTGGAGCAAGGGGAGCTGTCAAGTCAGCCCAGCACACGCTGCTTCAGTCGACCTGTTTACTGCGTAAATGTACAGGGAGAAAACCTTGTGTATGGAAGCTACAGAAAAAGCCTATTTTTGCTATAAATATATTATGTTTGACATGGATGTGTGCTTTATTTCTGCTGGATGTTGGGAGGGGGATCCAAACTTACACAGCTGCTCTGAAGGCAGGACAGCAGTGCCTGGCTGACCTGTGATGGCTTCAGGAAACCCAATGTTCCCAGCTGTGGTGGGGTTCTGTGCCGACAGCTCTGGTCCAGGGCCAGCAGCTGGTCACTGTGGCTGGAGCCATCCTGTTCAGCTCAGCTGTGTCCTCTTCCCACGCTCAGATGAGCAACTCACACAGCACTGCCTGTTCAATCAGAAGAGGGAAGGTTTTCAAGGAGCTGCAGTGCTCCGGCAAGGAGGACAGTGCCAGAGGAAGGAGCTGGCTTCTCCCCTGCCAGGTACCTGGTGCAGAGGGTGGGTGGGAGGTGCTGCTTCTGCAGCTGAGGAAGAAGCATTTTGCTCACACTCACCAGCAACTGCTTGGTCAGCAAGGCCAGAAACCAGGACCAGCTCTTTCCCCAGCCATGCTGCAGGTGACGTCCCTACAGCACGGGCTGGAGGAACCTGCGATGGGGCTGGGCCAGCTTGTACTGGGCCAAGCTGGTCCCCAGGTAGTAAAATGTGAGGACAACTGGTGCTGGGCAGTAGTGGCTAAGTCAGTACTGGTGCCAGGGTGACCGGTGCTGGGACAGCTGCCACCAGGCTTGGCTCGACAGTACTGGGACAGGCACTGCTGTACCATAATTCAGCCCCAGCGAGAGCTGGGCAGACTGGGCCACCTGGGTGTCCTGCTGCCCGTCAGGTGCAGTGCTCTGCTCAACCGTTGTGGCCCAGCTGCTTTGCCAGCCTTTCCCCTGTCCCTGCAAGAGCCACTCTGTCTCCTGCAGGGCTGGGACGAGCCACAGCAGCCAGTTTTCCACAGGGCTCACCGCTCCTGAAGCAAGCAGCACATCTCCAGCTCTGCAGCCCAGCGCTGGCTCCCAGCAGCAGCATCCTCACCACCCACCATCACCCTGCGCTGCTGGGGAGAGAGAAGGGAGAAGGCAGTGACAGCATGGCGCTGGCTGGGGGCAAAGGGCTGCCTGTCCCCAGGAGATGGGAAGCAGGGTCCTTTTTTCCCCCCCATCTCTCTCAGTTTGCACAAAAAGAGCCGGCCTTGCAGGAGCCAGGGCAGCTGCTGCTTGCTCCAGCTCACAGAACAAGCATTGGTCACAGAAGCAAGACGAAGGGCTCCATGAGCTGTCAACCCTGACCAGAAACAAGCACAGATGCTGGCAATGACAGGGCAGACTGCCAGCCTCAGCTCCCTGGTAAGAAGAAAACATCCCCACATGATCTCAGAGCTAGAAAGCAAGAGATGGAGCAATCATCTACTCCCATCAGTGCAGAGCCAGCCGTTGTTGTCATGTCCCAAGGAGGTCTTGTAGCAGATAACTCAAGTATGGGGGATTGTGTCCCTGGCAAAGCCTTAAAGGGTCTTGTTGACCAGACACGTCAGGGCAGTTCTACGCCCACTCCAGTAATTAAAACTTCACTTTTGAAACCTACGAGCTGCTCCTTCACTTTACCAAACCCTCCTGCTCCTCTCCCATGCCCAGCCAGGCTGTGAAGCTGTTGTCCTCTCTGAGGCCCAGGCTTTGAGGCTTCCTGGGAAGGGCAGTACAGGTGCTGCACCATTTGAGGTAAGCAGATGACTCTAAGCCATGTGGCATGCCATGAGTCTGGCAACTTCAATGCTTGAGACCCTACCCTGGTGCCTCCTGCACCCTTCATCTGCTTGGACGAGGATACTCCTCTCTTTTGCTCTGTGGCTGGAAGGAAAAGAGCTGCCAGAGCCACAGGTACCTCTCCTCTGCAGGAACCCTCCAGGAAGTCCAGCACACCCACATGGCAGCCAGGCCACTGTGACCTTACCTGGAATTACTGAGAGGAGGATGCAGGCACACGTCCAGAGCAGTCACCGAGTTCCTTGCAATAGCCTGTAGCAGAAAGGGGAGCTGGCAGCACAGCCAGGACTGCTTTTGTGACAGCCGAGCTGTCCCCAAGCTGCGTGGTGGGAGGAATGGTGTATTCCAGCCTGCGGAGAACAGCGAGCTGTGCTGCAGCAATGGTCACTGTCACAGCTCCTACAACCCACCTATTCATCCCCAGGCCTGTGGCTGCTGGTCTTACTACAGCAGTGGAAGGGGAAAAATATAGAACATGGGAGCTGGGGACAGACTGTCCTGGCAGGACAGCTCTGGAGCAGGCAGCATGCACCCCACTGTCTCCCCATTCCCCAGCCTGCCTTCCCCACATACCTGCTACACCACGTGGAGCAGGGCAACGGACTTCCCTGCCATGTTTCCACCTGTGGCCCCATCACTGGTGGCACAGAAGTGTTCATCAACCAGCAAGCATCTGTAGCAAAGCAAAGGTGAAGTTTTTGCACTGGCTTCAGGTACTACTGCTCTGCAGGCAACTACCCCATAGGTCAAAACGCTTATGGTGACAACTCAGGAGAGATACAAGGTCTCCAAGACTGCAAGAAAAGCTGTGCCACTGCCAACAAGGTGCACTGAACCCACATAGCTGTTAGAACAGAACACAGCAGGACCTGGTGACTACTGCAGACCTTGTCACACACTTCAAAAGCCAACCCTGAGCCAAGGCATCCAGGTCCCAGCCTGGCATCTATTCTGCGCTTGGCTCTCCTTGGCAATGCTTAAGCATCACAGGCCAATGCTCCAATCAGCTACTGGGGGGAACACATGGTCCCCTGTTCTATGTCAAGTTCTGACCACATTCACTCTGATCCCATCAACAACTGCAAAATCCACGCTGGGTGTTTTGTTTCCCCAACAGCACCCACCCGTTAGGTGCTTGCAGGAAGCCCTAAGAAGTGCCTAAGGATCAGATGAGGGACAGTTTCCCTAAGGATCTCCTCCTAATCACCCATTTTTGGAGATGGGCTTAAGTGTTGAGGCAGAACCTTAAGATCCCTTCCAGAGTTATTTGCATCAACACCATTATTTTTCAAAGGTATTCTTTATCAGATATTCTTGAATATTGAGTATCCAAGGCTTTGAATTCAAGTTTTCTAGCCGCACACACACTGTGCAATTTAATGAATGAGACTTTCTCCTCAGTAGCTTTAAAAACATCCCCAACTTGCTCTCCATGTGTCTAACCAGGCCAGTGGAATCCCTGCTCTACACTCCTTCCCATTTCTCTTCGATCTCCTGCCTCCACTCCAAAGCAACGTGATCGAGGCTCTGACCCAGTCTCATCTTCTGCAAAACCTCCTGAGCTGTGGTACACAGGGCACACCCAGGGCAGAGGGACAGCACATTCTCCAGCCTCATCCCAGCTTTGAGAAGGTAAACCTGCTGCAATGACAGGCTGTTTCGATTCAAGGGCTCCACCACATTCCACATGAGCTGCTCCACTGGTTCAGACTGCATCTGTACTCCTACTTGCCTCATGTCAAGGAAGGACCCCTTAAGGTAGCTACCTGAAGCCTTCTCCTGCCCTGAGAGGCCCCTTACCCACTTGCATATCTCTGAGCAGTCCCAAGGAATTACGAGCTCCTGGCTTCCACTCTGATATTCATGTCCCCCTTGATGTGCAGCTCCAAGCCCCCCAGCAGCAGTAACCTTCCTTTTTCTGATGGAGGATTTGGAGTATGCAAGCACAGATGAAAGCTCACTCACGTGCTCCTCTGTCCTAATGAAGTGTCAGCATCTGCTTGTGGATGGGTGGCTGAGAGAAGAGAGTAGCAACAAATCCACCTCTCTGTTCCTTGAGATAACTGGTAGAATTGCTGACACTCAAAGATGTTTGAATGTAGCTACACAAAATGAACAGTCATCTTCTGCACTCAGCTCTAGAAGGGCAAGGAATGAAGGGGCCAGGATGACTCCAGACTAGTCCTGCAGAAGTTAAAACTCCC